AAAGAGCGAGAATATTTGAAAACGGAATTTGTTTTTCTATATTTCGGCTCTAAAATTTGAAAATAATTTTTCGGCACTACAATCACTCGCTTCCAAATGAATTAATTCTAATAATTCCGTTTAAACATTCAAAGTCTGAGGATCAACGTACTGAACAAGAAACATCATCCATTTGTCATTAGTTAAATCAGATATTTCGTCAACAAAAATAGAAAATTTATTATTTTGTAATTTTTCGACCAACCGCTCGTGTTTGCGAACACATAAGACATTCTTTATTACTTTCAGTGCTTTATTCAGATTCATCGTCATACTTTTCAAGACTTCCGGATCTTCTCCGAGGTCTTGAAAAAAAACTTAAGATTGATTCTGCTGTTTTAAATGGAATGTTTTCTCGGCAATTAATGCTACAAATTTTATTTCCGCGATTTTTTTCCGATCTTTAAAAGGCACAGGTTCTTCGTCATGCGTATTCAAATCTACGCTCAAGCTCCTTTTCTGACACTCCGAAACATGTTTCTTGCTGTCAGAATGCCGCATAAGCTTGTCGAAACCACATCGAAGCTTTAGATTGCAGGAGCAAAAACAATTGAAATGATCGTTCGGGATTGTTTGCAGCCATGGTTTGAATTGTTCATTTTCAAGCCATGAATGGCAAAATGTCCTTTCACGAGGTTCCTTTTCAATGATATTTACTTCGTCAGAGCAATTATTTACTATGTTAGTTCGATGAGCTTTCGATTCCGCATGCTTAAAAACTCCTGATGAGCAAGAAAACGTTTTATTACAAGGGATACAAAAATATGAATTATCATTAGGAACTGTTTTAATCCAAGATTTACTATTGTCGTTTTCTAGCCAATCATGAGAAAATTTACGTCTTTTGAATGCTTAGAATCTACGCATTCCATACTGAAGAATACAAAAATAGAAAAGAAACAATTAAAGAAAGATATAAAACAAAGAAAAACAGCAAGTAATGAAAAAAATATAAAGTGTAACTGTAAATACCTTTACAAGAATGCACACTATTGTCTAGAAAGAGGGAGAGAAAAAGCGTCTAACAACGTAACCATCAAACTAATACTACATTCAAAATAAATCCTACTACAAGAGAAAAACTATTTTACACGTTAAATTGTACACAGAACACAAATAATAATTTAACAATATAATTTTTTAATCATTACAGGAATCTAATTTCACTACAGGAATTTTAGGAATCTCTAATCGCATACGTGCTAAGCATGAAGCGAGTAGAAACAAATACAGATCGCGAAAAAAGATAATTTTACGTCTATGGGAGGTCATAAAGTTTGCGCTGGTTGCGCGGCAATCGCACAGTGGTAGCGGTTCCACTTTTCATCGCGCCCTGATGCAAAGTTTTCCCGGAACTTTTATATGAATAATTACATCTACGAAAAATACTGAAAAAGTTTATATTCTTTTTGGATCATTTAGTATTCGATTTCTAATATATTAAAAAACATGTAACACTTACATATTTTTCGAAAATCGCAAACAATTAATATTTCGTAAACTGTCGCGTTTTAAAATCATTTTTGCTATTAATGGAAGGGTTATATGATTATTAAAATTTATTAAAATCTATTTATTAAAATCGTTATCCAGAATGTGTGTGCATGTCTCTTTATCCCTTATACAGGAATACGCCGAGCGGCCGAGAAAGTACATTTTCGATTTTCGGTCGCTTATGACAAGTGACTAGTAGAGAAAGCGAGACAGCGAGAGAGAGCGGCCGTCCTTTTCGCTCCAATACTCGTTTGTGTTTACGAATTACTGGTAGAGCGAGAAGGACGGACGCTTTCTCTCGCTGCCTCGCTCGCTCTCGCGCAGCGGCAAAATCATGGCCGACTCGCTGTCAGTAGATGTCTGCTTGGAGGGTGTAAAAGCGGTGAGGCGGGTTTTCCGTGTTGCCGGGGGCCAAATGTTCATCATTGACCACAGGTCGATCATTCTGATCTGAATCTGAGACCGATACATTTGTCGCGTGTATAATTTCCGAAGTATAGCAGTAAGCACTACGCTCGCGTACTTATAAATTTTCGTTCGTGATACCTATAATTTCTCGCTTTCGATACTTATAACTTCTCGCTTCCGAGCCGCGCGCGCGACTAAGTCCCGTCCGCGAAGGAGCACGTACTTAGAATATTTTCTAAGTCGAGATTTGAGTACTTATAAATTTCATTAGCATGTGCTTTGGCCCTTCAGGCATCTGGAGACACTGGTAGAGTCTCGGCGCTAAGCTGCGCGAAGCGACACTGCCGTGCCTCCTTTACGTGAACCGACGAGTTGCGGCAGATCGAGATTATCGGATCTCAATAACGGCTGAACCGATCGCGTTCTATGTATGCTCAATTGATAGCCATCACACGGATGTATGATAAAAGTGCTTTTATTCTTTTTCTACGTGTCCTACGAGCGGAGATATCGCGACGCAAAGTTCCGAACTGCTACTTTTTCAGTTCATCTGGAGATACTGGTAGTGTCTCGGCGCTAAGCTGCGCGAAGCGACACTGCCGTGCCTCCTTTGCGCGAACCGACAAGTTGCGGCAAATCGAGATTATCGGATCTCAATAACGGCTAAACCGATCGCGTTCTATGTATGCTCAATCGATAGCCACCACACGGATTGTGTGATAAAAGTGCTTTTATTTTTTTTCTACGTGCCCTACGAGCGGAGATATCGCGACGCAAAGTTCCGAACTGCTACTTTTTCTGTCCATTTTCAGATACGTCGTCCTTATTGCCATCATTATTGTCGTTGACCACATTCCGCGCATTCCTTTGGTGTCCGTCTGACATTCTTTACGCAAGGAGCGCTAGTTTCGTGTCCTTCTGACATTCTTTACGCAATTAGTACGCAATACGCAAGGAGTGCTAGTAGTAATATACATATGATCAGCGAGTGCTGCGATCTGGAGATACGACTAATTATTAGGGTACATTTCCACGAGCGCGTCACGCGCCGCGTCGTCCAATGTGTCACGACAAGGAGGGTGTACATATATGAACTTCACTCTTTCTCTCTTTCGCGTTGCGTCGTGACGCAATGAACGACGCGATGCGTGACACGCTCAGTGGAAACGTACCATTAGTGTATACACTTTTGGTTAGGTTAGGTCCGTCATATCGATGGTAGTAAAGGAACACGTAAGTGATTTTCTACTTCTGCAATACACATTTTAGACTTACTCAACACGTTTTTGTACGGAATGAACGAATCTGATAACAAAAATTACCCCGCGGACCGAGATATTAATCGTTAAAGTTGATGACTATTCAGGTTAGGAAATCTGTCATATCGATGGTAGTATAGATTACAGCAGAGTATTTGCTTGGTTAATATTTGTCTGTGAAGTAGATAATTTGTTTAATCCTTTATGCCATCGATGCAACAAATTTCCTCTGGATATCTGTCAACTTTAATTAATAACAATTAATAACTCGGTTTGCGAGACAAATTTTTCATGTAGTGCAAAAATGCGTCGAATGAGTTTATTTTATCAA